AAGACTTATAGGAAACGCACCTTGTCCTGAGTCCATTTTATGCATAATTATTTCCAAAGTCGGACCGTGGCTGGATACATTTCATATAACTGATTTATTGGTAGTTTCGAAACTTGTCTAGCCCTCAGTCTGGTTACTGCCATCACTTCTCGCATGAGTAAACCAATGCTCACAGACATCCACACATACAATAACCCTGCTACTATCATATTCCCAAACTAATGTCGTCATTGTAGAATCAAAAAACAATTAATTTAGGCAACGATGCAGTTGTAACTGCATCCACTTCCTACATCGACTTTACTAATCTGCAAGCATGCGGAGTTAGCCCGAACTATATGAGAGCTATTCACCCAATTTTATTTAAGATGCTGAATAATAATGTAAAATATCATTAAATTTAACACAGCCTTTTTTCACAAAGGTTGTTTTCATGCAGCATGGGAATATTAAACTAGTTGTAACTCACCATCTTAAATGAGATAGGGTGAATAGCTCTCATATATGATCTTCTGGTAGTTTCTAAACTTACTTATAAATAAAAATAAGCAAGAAGTAATCAACCGAATGATGTGATGCATTATTCGCACCTTAAAATAGTAATTTAATAGTTTACATTAAACCACCTTTTCTATAGACTTAGTCTATTGGTTCCAACTTGCGTAAACCAGTGGTTCTCAAACTTTTCATTGTTGCGGCGCCCTTTTTCAATTAAAATTTTTACATGGCTCCCTACCCTAAGTATGTCTATTGGTGAGTGAGAGATAAAAATAAATAAAATCATTATTTTTTTACTCTATTAACATTCTATTAATATTTAGTAATTAATGTGATGGATGAGCCTGAAAATCTCAAATTGAAGCTTTTACACTATTTCGCGGCGCCCCTGTAAAGAGGCCGCGGCTCTCCGGGGCGCCGCGACGCACAGTTTGGGAATCACTGACGTAAACTATGGTTTCTCGCCTTCACAATGTCTGTCACGACAGAAGGCACGAAGATTTAGCGCGGATTAATCGGATTCTCAGCACGGTTAGTCGAGGACTTCTTCGCACATTCACACTTTCGCCTCTTCGAGGCGATGCTGCTGCGGTTGGCGATGAAGCTATTCACAAATCTCTTCCAACCAACTTTTCTTTCCAACTCAAAAGTCGACTCTCATTAACCTATTTAGGACCCTGTAGAAAGCCAGCTCATGTTATATCAACGGGCTCCTCTCAAATGTCTCCTGGTAGTTTGAACATTCGCTCACTTTTTGCTTAGTCTCAGTTTTATAGAATGCCCTGACTCGAAGCAATCGCCTCGAGGCACCAGAATGCACGTTTTGCTCAAGAGCATCAAGGCCAGAGCAGAATTGGTCGAGAGTGTCGGCAGAAGGACGACCCACCCAACAGTGGGGCCGCATTTTCGTGTATGCGTCTGGGGAGGGATGGCAATGTGGCATTTGCATAAAGTCATCACACCTAAACTAGACGAAACCGCCCCATAGCAGGTGTCGACTTTGTTACTTTCGTCGGCCCAACCCACGCGTATCCTGTTTAGCCTAACACGGCACAATTAGAGCTCGGTTGCCGGGTGTAAAGTTCCCAGTCTGGACCCAGTTTTGGCTGGCCTTGAAGGGAGCCGGTCTGCGGTCGAGAGGCGGTAGCGAATGTGGCCGCATGGACGTCTGGGAATGTGTCGTAAGGATGCCGAATAGGCGTTTGCGGAGTGTGCCGAAGAGACGCATGTGGGCAAGCACTTGTTGCGGAGACAGTCTGAACAACCTGACCATTTGCTGTTCGTCTAGACGCTGCCAGCTGCCGAGCAATCAAACTTTTCACAGACTTTACCGAAAAACATGGTAATGTTGGCGCTGCTAAAGAAGACGATGCTGGTGGCAATAAGGATCGCTTCAGATTTAGTGTTGGTGATAGCGTTGACGGTGGCAATTGTAGCGATGCTGTCTCGATGCCAAGGGCAGATATAATAAGGGATGCTGTGGGGTGGGGAGAGGTCCGACAAAGATGATGTCACCAGTGGCCGGTATTCGGTACGGTCTGAAAACCTGTTGTCCAGTCGTTTTGAAGGCTTCTCCTATGCATTCTGCACATATCCACAAATGTACCCATGTCTAGCTAGCCTTTGGCGTGGTTTTCTATCCACTTTCTTGCTCTCTTTGGACACATTTTCTTTGCAGTTCTAGAGAAGTACCAACTGAAGAGATAAGTTTATCGAAGTCCCTCTGAAGTCATAGGGTCTGG